ACATATTGGGTGCCATTGTATTGTTCATTTAAGCATAGTTGTATTGTTATTAATGCCTTATAAAAAGGTCCATTGAGGTTTGAAATGATTAATCTTCCACATGAGATTGAACATTGAGTTTTTGGCTACTTAATTGAGTTTCAGCATATTGTTATCCATTTATATATAAATTATTTTAAACAATATTTGTTTTATTACTATTGCAAACCTAAATTTTTCATTTAAGATACATAATCAGTTGCCTAGAAATTCGGCACTCTGTAGCATGTTAGTTTTCATTTAGATATGAAATATTAAGGCAGTTCATCACCTATAATAAATCACAAATGAAAATAAGGAATTACATTAATAAATAAATATGTATGCTTTAATTTATAATGTACAATCACAATTAGTTAAACATTTATTTGTTATGGGTCGTAATAATTTGCAAATGTCACTTGTATACTTTAGAGTGTTATGATATCAAGTAGAATGAGGTACATATCGTTCTACTATTTTATGGATAAAACAATGAGATGACAAATCAATTTATAACCTCAAATGAACCACGTAATTTATATCAAACTTTAAGACTCAAAATAAAGGTCTAGTTAGAAGTAGTAATGTCCTTATTTATGAAAGTAACGAAAGAGTTAATAAAAAATGAATAAATGCAACAATTAGAGAAGATTCTTATTCTCAAGATAACGAACAATCATAAAATCGAATTTATAATTAATCTCTCATGCGGTGAATCTCTTATTCTTTGGAGATTCTATGAAGATCAATATTAAAAGTGCATTTTTCAATTATATCATGCTGAGATTAACACATTTGACCCTCTTTTATCTTTTAGGATTTACTTGAAAATTTATATTTTCATATTCTATTTGGAAATTTCTTTATCCAAATAGTTATTGGGTGATTTCTTTGTCCCAAAATAAATGTTATTACATTTAAAAGAAAAGAAATACTAACAATACATCTCTTTCACTACAGCAAGCTAAAAGCTTTTGAATGATATACTTTGATTTATACTACTCCCTCCGTCCTGCTAGAAGGTTCCCGTGAACGATTTACGACGCTTGACTGACGAAAAAGCAACGTAATCCATGTTCACACTCTGATTAGTTTTAGTAAATAAAATTAATATATTGAGAAACTACATTAAAACCACTACAAAGGCTGATAAAAAAATGTAAATTCGATAAAAATTTGATTTATAAAGTAAACGATTAAAAATGATTTAAGTTGACCATGCAAATAGTGGACGAGAACCTTCTAATGGGACGGAGGTAGTAATTCATTAGTATACCTTGAGAAGTATGTGTAAAAAGAATGGATATTTCTTTGCATCCAATAAAGTTTTGTGATTTACTATTCACAAAAGAATGTGCTTTTGGGCATAATATGTGCCTAATAAAGCATTGACACTTTTGCAAACTAGGATGCAGCAACATTTGTCGGCGAGAAAGGGACTGAAATTGGTGGTGATAGACTCTAGCGTGGTGCTGATTTCGATCACAGTGCAGTAGCGGTAGCTTAGCTGATTCTGGCGATGCGATTGGGTAAAGAGCAGGTGCAAAGAGTATATGCCAGGAACTTCTGGATGTAAGTTGAAGGAGGGATCGAATGATGGCCATCCATTACCAACGATTCTAGTTTCTAGGTGGCCGCGATTGGTGGTGGGGTGGTAAAACAAAGGACTGTCACTATTGGCTAAATCTGCCAATGGCTAAGATGGCGCAACCCAGTGGTAGATCTGGTTTTCTTGATAAACGGCGGCGGTTCTACAGATCTCCCAGGCTTGTATGGCGTCGGAAGGCATAATGGCTAGTGGGAGAGAAAATTAGGATGGGAGCTGTCATGTTGATAACATGTTGTAGGAAGAATTGTTCATATAGTTTCATTATCGAGTGCCCTACATATAGGGAGTTATCAGGGTTTACAAGGATGGACCAATAGACCCATAATACATAGTTTACATAAAACGATCTTATACATATTCTATATACACGATAGCACATTACATAGAATTTCCTTCAACAGATATGATATTATATAGTTGATTATTCTACGTATAAGTAAGCTAATTACATTTTGCCTGCTTACTAACAAACATAACCAACTAAGGATGTTTTTTATTGGATTGGAATTTTTTACATGATCTAGTATGTTTATGTTTAAGTCTGGTTTGATCTAGTCTGGTAGAAGTACGTTCTTTGTGTACTTTACAATTGTCGAAGTCTTGTCTGTTTAAGTCTGGTCTAGTTTGATTTTGAAATCATTTATCCTTGTTCGATCATCTTGAAATACACAACTACATACAATTTCGTAGTTAGGATATTTGAGGCTTATCTTGATTTAGATATCATTTGAAAAATGACTGATCATCCCATTCTAGGCTTCTTTAACTGTGATTAATCAATTTGTCTTTCCTGACAATCAAAATTTCCATTTAGTAAATGATTGATTGATTTAGTTTATCGAATCAATCTGTCAAAAATATAAAATATAAAAACTTATTACAAGTAGCAACATTAGGTTTAATTGTTCTGCTTAAATTCTTTTATGACCTCAATATTCATGTGTTCGTTCTCTTGATCAGAAATTATTTCCCAATGGTTTATTCTTTGTATTGCACAATTACAGTATAAGGAGCATAGGTGACCCAAGTTTTGACTTCTAGACTAGAATTCTAAAATTTATACCTCCAAATATATTAGAAAGTATATTAGAAATTAATAGTAGTCGGACTAGCTCCCTACGGATGCGACATGTAGTTCCTCAACCCAGATGTTGAGGGTTAGAGGTCACCTTGTATGCCTCAATGTAGTAAGGTTCACAGCCCCTTGGCAATGGCATATTCAACACTGCCCAGGCGCATGAACGAGTTGGGGAGGCCACTAGACGTGCACAACCCCACACCAAGGCTGACCAGGAACACCCACCATGCGCAGGTGTGTAAGATCTAATACAATGCCTGGATGACCTAGGAAGAAAGATCATCATGGGGAGCCTTACACAATCGATCTCCGAATCCCCTACAATTACGTTGCCAAGGGGCTGCAAACCTTACTACATTGAGGCATACAAGGAAACCTCTAACCCTCAACACCGTGTATCTTGATACCTTTCGTACATAACAATGATGGGAAACGAGGACGCTATCCATTCTCAGGGTTTCCTAGCCTCCATGGAAGGCTTGGCTTGTGAATTATACGACTCTCTACCTGACAAAAGCTACCCCAGTGCTTTCTCTTTAGTGTCGCGAGCTCCTGAGATGTGAAGAGGAGCGTCAGCCAATTGTTCAGGCTAAAACGGGGGTGGAATGAGTTGCTATCCACTTTCTTGTCTAGCTAGGTGAAGTGTCGAATCGGTCAAGGTTCAGGGCCTTAACAAAACGGTTGGGGTGTCCATGTTGACGATCTCTATCCGATCGGGCGAGATCTACAATAATTTTGAGAGTAGTCTGCCCTCCTTGTACAAGGAAGTGTTGAGGCGCACCGACCGCCAAGCGGAGGACATTGATCGGAGGAAGAGAGACGAAGAAGAAGGTACAATGGAAGAGACGAAGCAGGAGGAGGAGGAGGAAGAAACCGACAGCAAGTCAAGTAACAAGAACGGAAAACATAGGGGAAAGAAGAACAAAGGCAACGTGAAGGCTGACGTCCTAAGCGGGCCACTCCTATCCCATCAAGCATTTGACTCTGCTCGCTCAGTCGACATGGACGATCCTCGACTATGAAGAGGAGCAAGGCTTGGTCGGTTCTCCCGAGGAATGTGATATGGTGATGGGAAAATGTAACTGGTGGAGTATATTGCCCCACACCCCAGAGGTATCAACTTTATATGAAGGAACCCTTGCAACCGGCTAAGACAAATCCAATCGAGGCTGAGCTTGAACTCGATCCTCAAACCACCGAGATAAGTTCAATAGTACAAATGAGGTTGAGCTCATTTCTCAAGAAGAGGCCAAGATCAATTCTGGTGTAGCAACTTGACCCGAGACCAAATCCGGTACCAAATATTCGAGAACATCAAGATATCTCTAGCCATCGCTTTGGTTGAGCTTGTATGCCCAAGCTATGCCTCTCAATCTCTGAGCTAAGTGTCATTTGAGCTAAGCTCCATCATAGGAACCAAGCTTCCAAGTCTCCGACTTAAGCACTCATATCTGAGCTAGGCATCTCTACATCCAAACCAAGTCGAGCTCGGAGCCTTTTATAAGTATTGTGGACTTAAATATTTCAGCATACATTTTTGGTAAAGTTAAACACTATGTCACCAAGGAATAATCACCTTTAGGGCTGACGTCAGCCAACAGTTGCATCAATGCCTTTGCCGCATAGGGATGCCTTGGATCAAGATTGAGATCAACGACACCATCATCCACCAGGTCCTGGTGAACAATGGTAGCTCGATGAATATCATGCACTATGTTACCTTTCAGGGACTCAACCTGGATAAGAAAGACTCAATTTTGGGAAGAACCCAACTCTCATGTTTCACTGAGGAACTCTATTTAGTCGGAGGTTAGCACAGTCCTCTCTGTGATTGTTTCACTGGGGACTCTATTGAGTCAGAGATTAGCATAGTCCTTCCTGTATGGTGGGCTCCGATATGATCGTCTGCACAAAATCATCCGCACAAAATCAAGCAAGATGTTGAGTTATGATCGTCCGCACAAAATCATCGTGGTTGAAAATAATGCTTTCTCTCAATATATAAAGTCAAGGTGTTGCACTCTGTATATAAAGTCAAACTGTCAAAGTGTTATTATTTATTTTGGAATATGTTTTAAAAAAGTTGATGATAGATAATTTTAACAAAATATTGATCATGAAAGTAATGCTTACTCTGAGGAAGCGGTCCACCTCAAATGGTCGCAAATTCACTCACCTTTATAGGAGGTTTCAAATTCGAAAGTTTCAAATTCGAAACTCAATGAAGTGAGTTTCAACCCAGTTTAATCAAAATAGAAACCCTCGGCTTATAAAGCCTTAGCCCCATCAATACAAAGAGTCAAAACGACTTCGCATGCGTTCATTTCCTGCTATCATCAGCTCCTCATTTCTTCCCCGTCCACACCGCGTGAACTCCACTCTCCTCTTCTGCTCTCGCTCAATGTCGACGACTCCCGCCGCCGAAGACTTGCTTCGCAAAGCTCTCGCCGAGAAACTGTCGAATATCGAACTCCAAGGGACTTCTGTCCGTCAATTAAAGGCGTCCGGCGCTCCCAAGCCTGACATCGATGCCGCCGTTCAAGCCTTGAATGCGTTGAAGCTCGAAAAGGCCTCGATCGAGAGTCAGCTTAAATCTACACTCGCTGGTGGTGCTTCCGCCACCGCCACAAGGGATGCTTTCCGCCAGGCTGTCGCCAACACTCTCGAGCGCCGCTTGTTCTACATCCCCTCTTTCAAAATCTACGGTGGTGTGACCGGTCTGTATGACTACGGTCCACCTGGATGCGCTATTAAGGCCAATGTCCTCGCTTTCTGGCGCCAGGTTTATTTTAATATATTCAATCATCTTGAGGCTGTTGATTGGAATTTGCATGTATTCCCATATGTTTCCTGTGCTGATGTGCATATCCACTGTCTAATTGAAAATTTATTTACTTCCCATACTCCAGCACTTCGTTTTGGAGGAGAACATGTTGGAGATTGACTGTCCATGTGTGACACCTGAGGTTGTCTTGAAGGCTTCAGGTCACGTTGAGAAATTTACTGATCTTATGGTTAAGGACGAGAAGACGGGAACATGTTATCGTGCTGATCATTTGCTTAAGGATTATTGCAATGAGAAACTCGAGAAGGACTTGAGCATGTCTTCTGAAAAGGCAGCAGAATTGAAGCATGTGCTGGCTCTCTTAGATGATCTATCTGCTGATCAAATTGGTGCAAAGATCAAGGAATATAATATCACAGCTCCTGATACTAAGAATCCTCTTTCTGATCCTTACCCATTCAATCTGATGTTTCAGACTTCAATCGGTCCATCTGGGTTGAGCCCTGGGTTAGTATTAGCTGCCTTGTTTGGAAATTCATGATTGTATTTGATGCGGTTTTTTGTAACATTATTGTGCTGATTTTATTTGTAATTTTTAATATAATGCAGGTTTTTACGCCCTGAAACAGCACAGGGAATATTTGTTAATTTCAGAGATTTGTATTATTACAATGGAAACAAGCTCCCTTTTGCTGCTGCACAAATTGGCCAGGCTTTTAGAAATGAGGTTGTGATTTTTGGCTTTTTTGTGCTACATGCTTGTGATGGTATTCAGTTTATACATATCTATGATCAAGCAAGCACTGTAATTGTGAGAAGAAACAAAATTTGCAACTTGTTATTCATCATTTTGCACCATGTCTTCAGATATCGCCAAGACAGGGGCTTCTGAGGGTCAGGGAGTTCACTCTAGCAGAAATTGAGCATTTTGTTGATCCCCAGAACAAATCACACCCCAAATTTTCTGAGGTTGCAAGTTTGGAGATTCTAATGTTTCCTAGAAAAGAACAAGTATCTGGGCAATCTGCTACAAGATTTCAGTTAGGGAAAGCTGTGTCTAGTGTGAGTTTCTTTTATACCAGCATGGGCAATGTTCTTTTCATCTTTTCTTATAATGCACGCAACTACCATGCTTACTTGTGTTCTAACATGTCCTTGTACCATTATTTTTCTAGGGAATTGTCAATAATGAAACACTTGGATACTTTATTGGGAGAGTCTACCTATTCTTAACACAAATTGGAATAGATCAACATCGTTTGAGATTCAGGCAACATCTTGAAAATGAGATGGCCCATTATGCTGAAGATTGCTGGGATGCAGAAATTGAGAGTTCTTACGGTTGGATAGAATGTGTTGGCATTGCTGATAGATCTGCATATGATTTGCGTGCTCATTCTGTAAGATTCTTTCCCCATTACTCTTTGCACTCTTGTATAAATCTTCACTGGAACCTAAGTTTCATAGTACCCCTTTGAATGTATATATTTTCCATTGCTTCTTGATATTCATGCGTAAAAATGATCTTTATATTTCCACTTACATTAGTCTTGTACAAATGTGTGATGCTTTTCTAACACATTATCTGAGTTCTAAGTAAACTTTGCATATGTAAAGAATGAGTTGCAGTATCTTACAGGATAAAATTAAATTACTCTTCCAGTCTTACATAGCCAGTTATAAAAGGATTTGTTATTGAATTCATTATACTTTCTTATCACTATTGGCTGTCAGGAAAAAAGTGGTACACCTCTTGATGCTCAGGAAAAATATTTAGAACCTAAAGAAGTGGAGGTAACAAATAATGTCATATAATTAGCCATTGTCATTGTATTTTGTATTGCAGCACTACTAATTTCTAAGCAATGGTTTGCAATGCTAGAAAATTGTTATAACTCCAGTGAAGAAAGAGCTTGGTCTAGCATTCAAAGGGAACCAAAAGATGGTTGCTGAAGCTTTGGAGGTAATCCTCTTTGCATTTCTTCCATTTTCCAAGATGTGTGTGTATGTGTGTGTGTGTACACACACACATATATAAGGCGAAATTCCTAAGAATAATCCATACTTTCAGTGATTCTACAATAATAATCCCCACCGAGAGTGTTCATAAAAATAATATGTACTAGCAATAATGTCCACAAGAATAAATTGGAGTAAATTCAACTAATACCCATTTAATACTCCCAATTAACATGTACTCCCATTTTCCCGTCACCACTCTTTGTCTTGAGTAACACTTATATCTTCCAACCTAAAAAGAACCACATATTATCAATAGTTATTGAGATTAAACATGCAGCTTGAATTCACCCTGGGAAGCAGAGCGGGGAAGGGAAAAGTGAGAGTAGGGTTGGGGTGATAAACAAGCATTAGTATAAATCCACTACAATTTATTCCCATGGACACCCGCGTTAGTATAGATTATTTTTATGAACACTCTCAGTAGGGATTATTATTGTAGAATCATTGAAAATAGGGATTATTCCTATGAATTTGACCTGTGTGTGTGTATAAACACATACATCATACATGTCATTTTTATAGAGCCGCATGACTTAGAAAGCCTTCTACATGTCCAGGGGTCTTCATGTTCCATATAAAAAATTAAAGTTTTTATTTCACCAAATCAACATTTTAATTATTTTAAAGTCCACCTTCTAGGATAGTCTTTTGAATATCCTTTTCATTTCAGTCATACTAGGCTAAAACCCCATGGTGTGTATAAACACTTCTTTTATTTGAACTTTACTAAGTTTTAATTTCCAACTCTATCCCTTTATCTATTATTTCACCTTCACTTTTTCTGTTTTCATACTACTTTTTCTCCTTTTTCGAAGGTTACAATAGTAAAGTACAATTATCTCCATTATTTTCTTGAAATCCCTGCCAACCTTAAATGTATCTTGCATTTTGGGATGGAGGGAGTATTACACTACTATTGTTGGTGCTGTTCTCTTAGGGTCTTTCTGGATAAAGGGATTTGGAAGGCTTAGACTATATCTTCATAAACAGAATGCTTCTAAAAAGGGGATAAACGGTGGTTTAAATGTTATATGAATTCATATAATATCAATCTTTCAGTTTTTTATAAAATCTCAAATAATATCCTGACATGGACTGACCCCTCCAAATCCCAAAACACATCATCCTAACCACCCTATGGTAATTATCACTGTCATTTCTTCACTGAGTGTTACTTCCTCATTCAAATAAAATCATCATAGGAAAATAAACAAGAGAAAGCTGAGCGATTTTGATTGTTCTGTTTTATATTAGGCGATGAATGAAGATGCCGCTATGGAGATGAAGGCTGATCTCGAATCCAAAGGAGAGGTGGAGTTCCAGATCTGCACTCTCGGGAGAAGTGTTACAATTAAGAAGAATATGGTGTCCATATCAAAAGAAAAGAAGAAAGAGCACCAAAGAAAGTTCACTCCTTCAGTAATTGAGCCCTCTTTTGGAATCGGGAGGATTATATATTGTCTTTTTGAGCACTCGTTCTACACAAGGCCTAGTAAAACTGGAGATGAACAACTTAATGTGTTCCGCTTCCCATCCCTGGTTGCACCCATCAAGTGTACCGTTTTCCCATTGGTTCAGAATGAACAGTATGAAGAAGTGGCAAAATTGATCTCTAGATCTCTCACTGCTTCTGGGATTTCACATAAGATTGACCTTACAGGTGTGTTTCAGTGCCTTGTTATCTAGAATTGAAATTGTTATTTTTTATTTTTTATTGTTTTGGATTAGATGAAATAATTTACTTGCAGTGTTGCTTGCTTCTCAGTCAAATTATCAAGGGTTGATTAATGATTTCATTTACCTCTCTCGGAGGTTAAATGATCAAATGGACGGAGAGGTTTTTTAAATTACAAATAAACCCCTCACCCCTGACCAGTTGTTATATATTCACAAAATGTCCTTTTAATTTTGAAGAATTGTAGAATATGGTATATACAACTATACAAGAACTGCAGTCTTCATATTGTAATTGGAGTTAATGCATTTTAGGGTAATTTTGCCTGGCACATTCATTTTTTTCTAATATCATTCTATTCTATCATCTTCTAGTGCCGTTTGCGGATCTTCTTCCGGCTTGTCTATGGATTTATTTCCAAAAACCTGAAGGGTTCATTTGGCAATTTGCCCAAATCTCGGGGTAAGGTTTATGTAATTAACCCTCCATATTAATGCTTTGTTTTTGTTCAATAGGTACCTCCATAGGGAAAAGGTATGCAAGAACGGATGAACTAGGCGTCCCATTTGCTATCACAGTGGATTCATCATCTTCAGTAACAGTGAGAGAGAGGGACAGTAAAGATCAGATTCGTGTTAGTGTGGAGGAGGTGGCATCTGTTGTGAAGGAGGTAAGCGACGGACATAAAACGTGGTCAGATATATTACAAATCTATCCCATTCACTCTTCAGAGTCCGCTGAGTGAGCAGGAGCCACTTCCAAACTTTTCGGAAATGGATAGATATATTTCACTTTCCTGCTTTGAGGATTTACTTTATCTCTGCGCCCGTTTAGAGAGGATTCTGGTATCGTCTTTCACCAAGTATCTAATCTATTTTTCTCGAGTTTTAAGGAAATGTTTAACCCTTTCTTCTAGCTTATTAAACAAAATCATGCTTGTAGACTGATTTTACTTCAAAATCACCTAATAATGTTTTTACGTGATTTCGGGGGTATCCATTGATTAGGGGTGGTTAAATCACATCTTTCCCATCTAGATTATTATCTCACCTATTGACATTTTTGCATTTGAAGCAAATTTTGTTGAATTACATTCAAGTGTTTTGAATGAGTGTTGAACTACTTCCATTGTTGCAACCCAATGCATTTAAAATTCATTCGAAGTGTTAAAACATTTAATACATGAAAATGTATTAATGACTGGTGTTGGGTCTGGATATATTTTTAGGTATGGCTTGAGATCGGAGGGTTTAATAAAGGAGACGATTTTGTCAAACAATTAATATTCTTTTGACTAAGGTAACAATGGTATGTTGTGGGAAAGTGGGAAACATTCATGAATCGTCACAAACCTGTAGTAACATACAAAGATAGAAGATAAGGTCAACTGAGTTTATGAGTTTCATCATCACATAAATGATAAGTATGACTTGTACGTTGTAAGGTCAATTACATAGCTAAACAGAAACATGGAAAAGAGGGGTGTAATAAATTAATTTAATATTTTCACGAAAATAACAATTCTTTTGCTGATATTTCTCAAGAGGATCATAGAAACGTCAATCAAACAGATTTTCCATATTGGTACTATAAGTTCACAAAAGCATCTATGGGTAGGCTTGGACTCGGGTCAGGCCACCCGGCCCGCTACTGTGCGGGACCGGGACTGGCCCGGTTATCGGGTCCGGGTCCGGGTTGGGCCTAGGCCCGAGGGGAAGGGCGGGTCCGGGCTCGGGTCTCAATTTTGGTGAACCGGCCGGGTCGGGCCCGGGCCCGGGCCAAATTGATTTTTTTTTTATTTTTTTTTTCATTTTTGGGGTTCCACCCGGGTTGGGCTTGATGGGTAGGATGGGTTTGGGGGGGTTTGGGAGGGTGGGGGTGAGGGAGGGGGTTAGGAAAGCAAAAAAAAAAAAAAAATCCAAACCGGAGGCCCGGCCCGGCCTGGACCCGGACCGGACCCGGTGGCTACCCGGGCCGGTCCCGGGTCCACTATTCTTGAACCGCCGGCCCGCCCGGACCCGGCCTGGACCTGAGTCCATCACTATCTATGGGTGTGTCGGCAAAACCTATAAATTATGAATTAAGGATCAAATCTGTTTCATATTGAATCTCTAGTGGTTCAAATAGTCATGGATGATTTCTTTTTGCTATACCTAAAATCACGTTTTATTTAAGGAAAAGGTAAATTCACTGGAGTGAAATAGTGCGCAAATTATACCGTGGGATCGGCCCACCTTCCGCATGATGTGCCGATCCCACTTTAGAGAAATTTACGTTTCTTTTTTGAACTTCCTTTGCCTGGAGCTCTATTATTTCCTTTTCCTTTCCTTTCCTTTATCTATTTTTCTTTTGTTCAATTCTTCTCCTTTTCCATCAAATTAAATTACTAATAATTTAATTTCAATTTTACTTTTCTTTATCTTCATCTCAAATTATAATTGAATCTATTTTTTTATTCTTTATCAATACATAACAAGAGTTTATAAATCCAAATAAAATAAGTATATTGCATTTCATATTCATACACTTTTTTATTTCTATAATGTTTTTTATATTCATACACTTTTTTGTAATATATTTTTTATATTCATACACTTTTTTATAATATATATTTATATGTATACACTTTTTCTATAATATATATATTTTATCTCTTTTATATAATGGAGAGGTTTTTAAAACATTGAGTTTGTTTATTTTGATTCATGAAGTTACATTTGATAATATATCATGAACTTACATCTTTTATGATCAAGTTACATATTATTATGCGTAAGTAACATTTTTTTATGCGTGAGTTACATTTTCTTATGCGCGAGTTACATTTTCTTATGCGCGAGTTACATCTAATTATTTGTGATTTTTTACTTATCTTTATCTTTAACTAATTAAATTATAACTGAATTAATTTTTTTCTTTACCAATTTATTACAAAATATTATTAATCCACATAAAATAAGTATATTGTATTTCATAATCATACACTACTTTTTACTTTTTCCCTTCAACTAAAATTACTAATGGATTTATTTATTTTTTGTAATGTTTTTACATTTATATATATTTTTTTAAAATATTTTTATATTCATGCACTTTTTTGTATAATATATTTCTTATCTTATTTACTACCTCGGTCCCAAAATGAACTTCTCATTTCGGATTACGATGCTTGACCGACGATAAAGCAATTCGATCCCTGTTCATACTCAGATTACTTTTAGTAAATAAAATTTACATATTGAGAAATTACATTAAAACCGCTACAAAGGCTGATAAAAAAATATACATTTGATAAAAATTTGATATATAAAACATAAGATTAAGAGTAATTTAAGTTGACCATGTGAATAGTCACTGTGAAGTTCATTTTGGTACGGAGGGAGTATATGTTTTTTGCCTTTTAAAGACATTAAGTTAGAAAAACCGTGAGATTACATTTTTCATATGTGTGAGTTATGTTTATAGACAAATTATATAGTTACATTTGATATCATATGAATTTACATCTTTTTATGAACGAGTTACATCTTTTTGTGCGTGAGTTACATCCTTTTGTGCGCGAGTTACACTGACTCTCCTCAAGAAGTTACATTTTGCATACATCTAACTTAGATTTTCTCATCAATATGAGTTACATTTTCCATAACACTAGTTTCATACCAAAATAAACCCCAACTATTGAAACAAAAAATTCATTTTTTTTTGAACAAAATGATTTTTTGGCAAAAAAAAAAGATATTCAAAAAAAAAAAAGCTTTAATATTAAAAAAACATATCCACTACTTATGTAAAGTAATTGAGCAATTAGACTACTTTTTTTCATAGTTTACATTGAAATCAAGGTTTTACTTCTTCTTCTCCATATTAGAAAAGTTACATCGCAACTTGCCTGCAGTTACATTGCATATTAACGTGAATTACATTTCATTACACACAAGTTACATCACCCTGCTACTGAGAACAAAAAAAATTACTGTTCACTTGTGTTACTGTTCACGCGTGAATTAGCTGTGGGAGCACCATGCTCACCATAGACTGCTCCCACGGTATACCAACTGGAAATAGTGAATGTGTTACAGAGCAAAGAGTCCTCCTTTGCTCTTTCATGCAATCTGTAAGAAAGGAACTCTCTAATGCTAACACTTCATCGACCGCCAATGTTTGACACTTTGTCCTCAGAAAAGGCTATATCCTCCCTGTACCCATCCTCACCATACAGAAACAAAAGTGGATATTGCAATCACAGATAAGCTGGATTTAGCTCATTTATTCTTTTCAAGTACCCTCCTTGAGTTTCAACCATTATATCTCTTTGCCCTATGCTTCATCAAAATCACCGACTACCAATGCCGCAACATTTGAGACTGTCGGTAAATTATAAGTTCTGGCATCTTTGGTTCTCCTCCCTATTAACTTCAGGGATACTTTTCTTTCCTCGCCCTCTGCTAGTTTATCTCTGACCATTCTGAAGGACTTAACTAAAACATTATGTTGGTCTAACATTTTCCTTAATGTAGTCACAATATGTGCATGCAAATTGTTCTCCTTTTTATCATCTCTGGATTGATATAACTAAATTTGATAAAAATAGCATAACAACAAATCTAAATATGTGTGCATGACTACATGTGTATAATAGTTTTAAGCATCAAAATTACCTCACTGAGCTCAAACGATTAGCATCCTCATGATGTGTGTCATATATATAGTTGTGCAAATTTCGGCACACATCCTTCTTGCGGTAGCAAACTCCCAATGAGGTGATAGTTCTGGCCTCCTAGTTTAAAGATTGGGGGCGATCCACCAACGTTTTGCGTTCTGTCCACCTTTCCTCCCATGGAAGTGAACGAAAATATGCTGTTGTATGAGCGAATGTTCTCCTGAAAGTGTTTAGAAACTGCATCTGTGCCATCAATGAACTGCTGCAGTTCCGCGGGCGGCTCCTTCAAACGTGGCAGTTTAATTTTTCCCATACTGCAACACAAAGAATACTTTGGGTTTTCTTTTGTAGAACCTTGGATAACTCTTTCTTCATACCAAAACAATGCTCCACAAGCTGCACAACTGTGTGACGCATCACCAATGCTCCAATATTCGGCGTTAGGTAGGTCTGTGACAAAGTAAGGAAACTGAAACCTTCATATCATAATAGATAACTTAAAATGTGCCTTTGTGTCAAATAATTGTAGGTTTTAATTGGTGTACTCAAATATCAGCATACCTTCGAGATCGTGTATTTGATGACCCAAGATATCATCTTCTTCTCTTGATAGATCATTACATGGTTCTTGATGGTCACAGTGAACTCCCCAAGATTCTTCCATATGAATTCCGATTGAGGATCCCCCTTGGGAAGCCATTAAATGGCAAATGAGGAACTACAATTGACGGTGTAACAAGAATAAGATAAATGATACTCTATTGTATTTTATACATAAATTTTGGTTACAAAAATCATCCAATTTTTTTTCTCCGAAAAAAAAACACTCGTATAACAAACAATACACCGTAATTTTGTTCACAACAATAAGACAAAAATGACTTTTAATGAATATTGCAAACAATACATATATTTATAATTACCGCTTCTTTTAGCAGCCAACACTTTAGAAGTGCCCACCACTTCATTTGTTGTTATGTTGACAGAAGAGCCTATTTTAGTGAAATCACGGTGGAGAACATGTTTGGTGTGATTTGGATCACAATTTTGTGTGGAAGATCAACAAAACAATCGGCATATTAAAATTTATCATGTAACTAACTTTTTTAGTAATGAACAATTTTATAAATTGAAAATAACAATTTATCATTTCGTTTGGATTCTCACCCCTGCGATCTACTGGAGAAATTATGTAAAACATATTTATGTATTTTTTGTAATAATATATTAATCCATTTATCAAAAGTATTAATAATTAATGTCCCTCATTTATTTATAATTAATAATTATTAATTAATATTAATATTTATATTAATATTAATATTTAATATTAATAATACTTCCTCCGTCCCATTGGACTTTGCCAACTTTCACTTTTTTGTTGTCCCAAAAAACTTTGGCACTTTCCTATTAAAACAACTAATTTGTCGTTCTCCACATTTTTCTCTGCTACATAGTTATAACCCAGTTCATACTCTAACACTTGAGATTTAATTTAAATGGA